TATATATATATATATTATAAACATAAAGAATTTTTTATTATTTTATTTAGAGTACAAATTAAATTAATTATAAAGTAAATATAAGATTATACAGATGCGTAAAATACCTACTTATAAATATTATATAAAAGATGTAATTTCTTTTTGTGTCTATGTATAAAGAGAAATTTTTAAAATTATTTTTGTATTAAATAAAACACATTAGTATTTTCCAAAATACAAAAATAAGCAATTTTTCTATATTAATATTAACATATTTATGATATTATGATAATTTAATATTATAATATGGTATATAAACTATATTTTTATATTATTATTAATAATACTATATTTTATATGATATTATATCTTTATTAATATTAATATATTCTCTTTATTAATATACAAAAAGAAATCTTGTAATTTGAATTTACAGATATATATATGCTACAATAGTATATTTAAAAATATAAAACTAACTCAATGAGAAATACAGAAATACATTTTTTTTATCGATATTTCTCACTGGAAATCTTAAAGTATCGCCAAAAATATAAAATACCATATAAAATATTTTTCTATATCTTCTTTATAATAATTACATCATAGCCTACAAATATGACAGAATAATAAAATGTTATTTACACTTAAATTACTCGAACATTTGGATATTGTTTCGTCAGTTTAACTTCTTGAGTGCTTTTACGATAAATTTCACGCATTCTGTAAATAGATAAAAAAAGTAGAACAAGTCATTTATTTTATCGTATTTATTATATAATGCTGTTATATATTCTTATTAAATATATATATTTTAATATTTTTACAATTATAATTAGAGCACATGTCATTTGATTAATAGAATTGTTTTATTTATTGTGACATCATACAAAGTATGTGTGTGTGTGTGTGTGTGTCTCAGAGCATTTTAATCATCTTTAAGATTCTTTTATCGAGTTGAATTTGATGGATTTGCCTTATTATTAGTAAAAATAAGTCATTATCATCTTATATCTTTATAATCAATTCTTAATAATAAGTAATAATAATGATAAATTACATTAAAAGTAAATTTAAAATTAGTTAAGAGAAATATGATTATTCTTCGTGAAATTTTTTTATTTTGTTAAGAATTCCATACTCGCAATTATTTACAATTCGAACACTATTTATGATTGTCTATAATTGATTTTAATTATTTTACTAAGGAAAAATCAACTTTAAAATTTGACAAATAATTCGTCGTGTTAAAATTAGATTTACAAGTTATTATCTCTACAAAGTGTATGTAAAAAGTTAGAATAGTTAATTAATTGAACGTACCTGTTACTCCAGTTAATTATAATGGGCACTGTCGCATAAATGAAGAAAAGTAAACTGCATAAATACATTATGATTATAAAGATAACGATAAAGATGTTGTAATCCTTCATAATATAATCATATGATATGATCACATAAACGATTATGCTAACGAAAAACATGTAGCAGAATATCAAAATTAATATTTTGAAAAGAGGAACACGAACTTCTCGAAGCATCTGAAGCAATGTACTACTGTCTCTGCAACACTGTTATAATACTAGTATTACATACGCACGTTTAATAAAAAAATTAATCATTCTTCTAACAAAATTATTATAACTAAAATCAAACGCAAAAATTGTAAAACATTGTCCAAATTATATTTTTATTATAATAAATTATATTTTGTTCTTTAATATAATCTTATTTATATTTTTATGCTCTAATTTGTTTATTGAATTGTTGTGATAAATTATAAATTATAAGTCGTATAATATGATATATGTATAAGTTCTGTTACTAAGCTTTATTACTTTGGCATATATGTCTAGTTTTACGAACTTTGACTTTAACAAATTTATTTTATAACATCTGCTTATTTTTTGTGAAAACAACATGTTTTTTAAGTTGCAAAATGGTCTATTTTAAAATAGAAAAATAGGCAAAACTTTTTTATTTTTTTCTAAGCTTTTATTCTGCTATTTTCTGCAAACTTTATACGATTATTAGATCTTTCATGGCTCACCTCTAATAATGATTTATGCTTTATTTTTAATGGATATCGAGTACGACAAAATTGGCAGTGAAGTACGTTCTGAAGATTTGCCGATATCTTTAGACAATGAATGTGTATGAATTGATTCGTACATTTACACGGGGATATTATGACTTTTCCTTTATTCGCACCTATCATAAATAGATTTATATATGTAATTGTTTTTTTAAGTAGTAATACTATATATGCAATCTTTTTAATGAATAGATTGTGTGTGTATACATAACACAGATTTCAAAATTTTATTCCACAAGTATCTTTATAAAGAGAATTTTTATTATCCAAGTTATTTCGTAAAAAAAGCTGCATACCCTCGTTGCAACGCCAGCATGAAGCCGTAATTGACATAGACATCTCTTCTTGCATGTGGTTCCACATATTGATCACGTCAGATTCTCTCATTTTTAATTATATTATTAATTTATTGAGCAATAAAGTTCGTTATACAGTTATAAACTTTTGGTGCAATAATGCAGAGTCAATATATTAACCCAAAGTTTTATAAATTTTACTTTGTACGTTGTCACTAATATATGTTGTATACTAATTTGCCACTGCTATCTTTAATACTATGTATGTGTTTTAATTTACATTTTCTAGTAAGAACAGCTGCTTGAAATACATATACTTAAGATCTTGAAACCTCCCTTAAGATTCTAGAAACTTCTTTTATTTTTATGTATATTGAATTTTTTTTGTTAAGTATTTATTTTAAAAATATATACAATATTAAAAGACTTGTCGTTGAAGAAGCACACACACTTTCTTACATTTAAATCATTATAGACGAGGGCTTGCCCTTCAAAATATATTCAAAATATATATTATAATAACAGCAATAGACTCAGGGTACTAACAATTAAGTGAGAAAACTGGCAAATAAAAGCCAATGCGCGGGTATTGATGCGCGAACTTATTATTGTTAAATTTGTTAATAAATATATATACAGAAAGTTTAAAATTTCTATTAATAAATATCAAAATAAAATTAAAACTTTATATATAATCAATAAAATATATATAATCAATATATATAATCAATAAAAAATACGCGTACGTTTAATGTAATAAGTATAATTTATCGTTTAAGTAGAAATTGAAAATAAATTAAATTTATTTGATTTTAAGAAATAATGTGTTAGAAAATTGCAATAAGTTATAAGAAACCGATTTTTATAAAATTGAAATTAAGTATCTCAGTTTCATAGAATTAATTCAAACTGTCATTCAACCTATAAATATATTACCGTAACGTAACATCGATACTCTCGCTATATATATATATATATATATATAGGGGATATATATGTATCTCTCAGTATTATTTAAAAATTCTACTTTTAAAACTTTACTTTAGACGATGTTACTCTACGATCAATTTATTGATACTATGCTATCTCTTTGAAAGAAAATATTGTTATGTACTTGCACGAAAACGGTTTAAGCAACTGCTAGGAATATTTAAAAGATTTGTTTCGGAAATATATCTTTTTTTATCTTATTATGTAATGTTGAAAATATACATTAAAATCGTCAATTCCAGCCAAGTCAAGCAAGTAATTATCTACGGATTTTTAGATATAATTAATAAAAATGATACGTCATCAACACACATTAGTGATTTTCCTAATGTTATCTCATATAAGTTGATGACTCGATTTCGGCATCTATTTAATATTCGTCTGTATCCGTTTCATTTCGAATATGAATATATCGAATATATCGACTTTATCGATTTCATTATAATTTCGATCGCCGATACTTCTCACATTTCAGTTGTTACATATTATTTGTCTTTCCTTACACATTAAAAATTCAAAATCTTTGTTCACATATATCAAAATCAAATTAAATCTGTCATTTCAAGAAATGGAAACATGAATTTGTCCAATACAAGTAAAATAATTCATTCCTTAAATAGAAATTTATTCGGAGTAATATGAAGAAATTGTCAAGGTTTGTATCCTAAATCCATTACAATAAATTCTAATAAATTATAAGAAACTAGTTTTTATAAAAAAATAATATTAGACATACAATATATATATTAGAATAAATTTTTATTAAGTTTTATTAATTTTTATTAACTTATTCTAATCATCTTTTCTTTCTTGCAGCCAGAAACCTTATCTTCGCCAGAAATGGCGATGATACCAGTAATAAAGTGTACATCAAACGAACGAATGCTCGGCATGCAATCGATAAATGACAGAAAGGATGACGAGAAATCGGAAAAGAAATTGACGGTTCTCGAGTCGCACGGTTATATTCTCGGGAAGACCATAGGGGCTGGATCATATGCCACGGTCAAAGTAATGTACTCTAAGCCTATTTCATTTCCTTTTTTCTAAATGTTAAATTTCTTTCTAATTTTAAATACTTTTTACTTATTGTTAGATCGCAAAGTCCAATCGGCATGATTGTCAAGTGGCGGTGAAGATAGTTTCGAAATTCCAAGCGCCTGAAGACCACCTTACGAAATTTCTACCTCGTGAGATCGAAGTGGTCAAAGGATTAAAACATCCCAATCTAATTCGCTTCTTGCAAGCCATAGAAACTACTCATCGGTTTTGTATCCAATATTTCATTATCGATTAATCTTCTATAACATTTGTAAGATGACCTAAACGAGGATAATCGTATTAAAAGCGATTTATAGGAATTTATTAGATGAAATCGAATTGTGAATTTTTGTCCATTTAAAAAAAAATCTTTCTGCTTTTTTGCAGGGTGTACATTATCATGGAATATGCACAGAATGGCAGTTTGCTCGACATAATACGTCGCGATATTTACATCGATGAGCTGCGTAGCCGCAAGTGGTTCCGGCAACTCTTGGAAGCTATTAATTATTGCCATGAACATGGCATAGTACACAGGTAAGAAAGTAAAAAATAAATAAATTTCATGTAAAAAATTTAAGTTTGTGACGGGAATATATCCTGGTGTTTCACGATAATTTTTTGGGGGAACCTTTATAGAGATATAAAATGTGAGAATTTGCTTATGGATCATTATTTCAATATTAAATTGTCGGACTTTGGATTCGCGCGAGGCCAAATGAAACCGAAGAATGGTGAGTGTATCCTCAGTACAACCTACTGTGGCAGTTATGCTTACGCATCACCCGAAATTCTACGAGGTATCCCATACCAGCCTCAACTCTCCGACATATGGTCCATGGGAGTGGTACTTTATACTATGGTGTACGGTCGGCTGCCGTTCGATGATTCGAATCACGCGCAACTACTAAAGGTACCCAGGTATATGCCAGGGTATACTCAATGTACACCAGGTCGATCCCAATTTTTTCGTGATACCTCTTTCGTCATATAAATGTGTGTAATGCATTTCCGTACAAAAATTATCATAATTTTTTTAATTTAATCACGTCACGAATAAAATTTAAATATTAATATAGAACATAAGCAGAAATAATAAATCTATGCAACGAAAATTAAAAGAGATGATTTGTTACCATTTTTACCTAAATTATTTATAAATTACCATGTATTTCACATGTTTATCTCCCTTTAAAATGCAGTTCTTTCTTTTTTTTAGCAAGTACAAAACAGAGTGGCGTTCCATAAACTTCCTAAAGTATCTGAATCATGCCGATCTCTCATTAGCCGTATATTAGTACCCCAATCGGTACGATTGCGCATCAACAATATAAGAAATGATGCCTGGCTAGAGACATCCGTCGTCGCTCAAACATCGATTAGTGGCAGATACATTGTAAGAATTAATTGATAAAACTATATGTGAATCTCATGAATTGTGCTTGATCGTATTTTATATATTATCACAGGGAATAGTACCTGCAATACCACCAAGTAAGGAATCCAAAGTATTTGATGAACATATAATATCAATTACTCCAGCAATCTTTCAAAAAAATGAGAAACCTGAAGACGCTACTGTTCAAGATAACACGAAAAGACAGATTTAAAATGTGAAGCTATAAAACTCACGTAATATTTTAAAGAAACTATTAATGCCATTAAAACAGACTAAGAATGTTTACAATCATTTGATGACATTTTTATATTGACCTGGTACTTTTTATTCTCGACTTTTTTTAAAATCAATAATAAATATTATGTTTACACGGATATAAAATAATATGTCACGCTTAAATGATAATTTCAGTTCCACTGAATATGTCTTGCTTAAATGAAATATGTAGTAGACAACACTACATATACGATCAATTATAAAGTAGATCTGTACTTAGCAACCATAAGTACTATTATAGAGGTAATTATAAATACACCGGGCGCAGTCGCTCTAAGTATATCTTTTGTATCATCTGTAATAGAAATATTTGCCATCAAAAATCATTCATAACAATAATCGTTGGTAATATTCATTACTTACCATCTGTTTCTGAAAGTAACTCCCAACCTAAACTCCTATCAATAGCCATTTTCCACTGAGAATATAAAATATCACGTTCTAAAACAAATATATTCAGTTAATCTCTATAAAGAATTTTTAATATTTAGAAATAAAAAAAAATAATAATAAAATTTGTGTAATAATCACCATTTTCAGTTATTGATGGCAAGAAAATGTCGCTAGGAACGGCGGCATCAATCTTCACGTCCCATTTGCGTATTCCTTCTGCGCTTCCTGCGGCAATTGCGACTCCAAGTGCAGTAGTTTCACACATCAGTGGCCTAACTTATGAAATAGCACATACACTTGTTTATTAACTTCTTATTATAAATTAATTTGCTATCTTTTACATAACTCATTTATATATATATATGAATTATTTGATCTAATGTCCTACTTACCTACTGGAATTCCACAGATATCGGCTTGCATCTGCATTAATAAATCATTAGTGGTCATCGCACCATCGACTAATAGTTTTGACAACACCAAGCCAGTATCTTCTTTCATAGCTTCTAAAATGTCTCTTGTCTGAAAGCATACTGCCTGCAGAGCTGCCTTTATAATATGTACGCTACTAGTATCTTCGCTAATACCACATATGATACTGAAACAATTTATAAAAACTTAGATGTTGTGCTTTAAAGACCAATGAAATGTTTCTATATTGATAAAATTGATAAACCTTCGCGCATCTTTTCTCCAATATGGAGCGTACAGTCCAGCAAATGCTGGCACAAAAACAATACGATTGTCCGTTGGCATTTGTTCGACAATAGTTTCACAGTCTTTTACATCAGTCAGTATTCCAAGATTATCCTTCAGCCATTGTATAACAGCACCTGCGATAGCAACAGACCCTTCAAGAGCATATATTGGAGAAGCATGTGGTCCTAATTGATAAGCAACTGTTGTTAATAAACCATGAGATGAATCCACAATCTGAAACGTACGATACAATCCTATTCAATTAAACTTAAAAATTTTTGTAATATTATAACAATGCAATAAAATATTTCTTACAGCTGTGCCGGTATTGTAAAGAAGAAAGCAACCAGTACCATAAGTACTTTTTGCCTGTCCTTGTTGTAGACACATTTGACCTACTAAAGCTGATTGTTGATCACCTAAGCACTAAAATAAAGAAATTTCATTTTAGAATTAAATCTTTTCTAGCACACATTTCACATTTAATATTTTAGAACAAAATAAAATATGTAATATTTTAGAATAAAATATTACATTATCGTCATTGTTGAAAGCTTTATTTGAAATTGCATTATTTAATATTTTACATCACAAATAATTAAATAGTACAAGTGATTACCCCAGATATAGGAACACCTTGTAGCAATTCATCGTGTATATAACCATAAATCTCAGAGGAACTTCGTATTTCAGGTAAAATCTCAACAGGTATTTTGAAAAATGATAATAAAGTGGGATCCCACTGCAGTGTCACAATATTCATTAACATTGTTCTTGAAGCGTTTGTAACATCAGTACTATGAACACCACCATTAGCACCACCAGTCAAATTCTAATTAAAAAATTGACATGTCATTCAAAAATAAATATAGTATATTAATATAAGGTTTTTATATTATAATTCTTTTGTAAACAAACCCAAATTAGCCAGGAATCAATGGTGCCAAACATAAGGCGTTTTGCAATCAGTGCTTCTTGAACTTGAGGTACATTTTCCAATAACCATTTTAATTTTAATGCACTAAAGTAGGGACTAATTGGCAAGCCACAAAGTGGCTTCAAATAATTTTTATTTCTATTACGTATACCCTTTAATATGTCGTCCACAATCAATGTAGTTCTCATATCCATCCATACTATATTGTCAAGATTGATAAATCATAAATTATTGCAAACAGGAAATATCTGGTCTGTATAATATTTGTAATAATGCAATTTTACCTATGGCATTGTAAAGTGGCTTTCCTGTGACAGAATCCCATACAACCGTAGTTTCTCTCTGGTTTGTTATACCAATTGCAACTATATCAGCTGGGTCTATCGTGAGTTGTCTTAAATTGTATACAGTTTGTTTAAGGCATTCCCTAACTGCTTTTAATATTTCTAAAGCATCTTGTTCAACCCATCCCTCTTTTGGGCATATTTGCGATATCGAGATTTGATGGTATGTTAAGACTTCTGCTGTATTCGCTGCAAAAACCTGTATTATTGTATAGAAGAAAAAATGTATATATACATATATTTACAATCTTAGGAATGCATTAATACATTAATAATAAAAATCAACAACGAAGAAATTAATTACATAAGTAAGCACAAAGAGTTTACATTATAATCCTATATCATTAAATTATAATCTAGATAAGGCACTGCTATTGTTATTTCAAACTTTAACATTAAGATAATGTCCAACTTATTTTCATTATACAAATGACTTGTGATGGATATCGACTTGTCAATATATATTACACGCTTTAGAAATTCCGAGAGATTTCGTCAACTCATGTGTGCTTATCGTTGTAATTATTGACACAGTACAAAAAAATTTCTCGTACCAGAAACCTAGCACTGCTCGTGCCCTCGTCAATCGCGCCGACGAGAGGCCCATATCTGTTCATCGAGTCATTTTTGTTCATTTGAATAAAGGTGATTATACCTCGATTGATATTATACCACAACCAACGATTGTCACACGAGATTTCACGCGAATTTACTATTCGTACGACGATATCCAAAGTTGCAGCTTTTTGATCGCGCCAATAATCTGGATTAACCAAGATTATTTAATAATTCGTGTTGCTTTCTGAAATACAATATAAGAGGAATGTCATGTCAAATAAAGTTTTAATCAATGTGAAACTAGACGTTCGGACAATTTAATTGGATTTAAATGATACGAATTAATTAACCCAATGAGTCAATAAACGACTCGAGTAGAATAAAATGATGTATATATTTTAGAGGAAGGTTATAATATATGTAGGTTATAACAAAAATAAAAGATTACAAGAACATCTCTTCCTTTATATAATATTTTTATTAAACACATATCTAGAATAACCTATATATATTTTGAAAATTTAACCATTAATAATCTCAAAGAGATTGTAGATAATTCATCTATTATATTAAGTGCCAAGGGATCTACATAAAAAAAATATATATATATATGATACTATTTAATATATAAGTATTTTTTTTATCAATTTTGATGAAGCACAGATATCAGAAATCAAATTTATTTTCATTCAACTGTTTAAATAAACTGAGAATTATTTTTAAATCTATTCAAATCTATTCTTGTCAGTTATATTCTTTGTACTTTTTCTTTTCTCTTTCCTTCAATTATACATTTTATTTTGGTTACAGAAAGTACAAAATTAATGTTACAAAGGACGGATCTAAAATTATGCAGACATAAATAAACATAGTATGACCATCAGAGCAATTTGTAATCAACTTCTCTTTATATATATTTCTTTCTTTCCTATAGTCCTTGTATTTTAACGAAAAAGATACTTTCAACTATCCGCTTTGTTATTGCTGTGCGAGAATCAACATGCTCTTGATGATATTATTCCATTCAACGCATTGCCGCTGCGTAGAATCGAGTAGGAACGTGGCGTTCATTCAACGACGCGTTTCCGGCAGAGGGCGCGCTACACGCGTTGCAACCTTTGACGACATATGTAATATTCCGGATCCTTTCTGCAGCGGCAGCTGCTGGAGAGTAAAAACGCGTAGCCACCGAATAACGGCCGTCCAAGTCCCACTGTACGTCGCCATTTTCGGACTGGGAGAGCTCCGAGTGTCGTACAGGCTTGAACGCTGTCGCCAGGACTGCTTCGCTGTTTCTCACTCGCTGCCAATCGTCTGCATCCGTGGAACGAAAATTTCAAGTCAGTGCTGGCAACTTTTTGCGTCTTGTTATCGTTATATGTGCCTCTCGCTCTGCGTGCGTCTCGCGTCTCGCCCGTGCGTTTCGCGCTCGGACATGATGCGGCACGCGTATTTATTTGATGCACGTTGCGCGCTTTGGGGCGACAACGTTACATTTGGCGATATATATATATATAAACGTGGCTGTCGAATATCTAGCTCTCTCTCTGCATCTCTTCTCTCGCCCTGAATATCCTTGGCGAAAATCATATTCGATGTAAACGTTATGGCAGATGAAACAGCCAGGTTTAGCGCCGAATCAAACAACGCTGTCGATCACCAGCCTTCTCGCGATTATTCAAGCATGCCAACAAACTTTACAGCCTTTTATCGCATCTAGCGCTAAATGTAATTGTTCGAGATTCTGGGAGTCATGCATCGCTCGACACGCCAAGTGTAAACACGCCAGTTGAAGGAAATGGAACAGCCCATATTTAGCGCTAGAGTCGCGATGCAGATGTACATACACGTCGACGTCGACGTCGACGTCTTGCACGACACATCAAGGACGAGCGTCATGACTCGCCTGGCCCTCGAACATGATTAATTGACAATTATAAATATTTATGACTCGTATTTCAGACAATTGGCGATATGTAATTATAAATACTGGGATAAATTACAATTTTAAATATTAAAAACTTTCGTTTAGCCATGTTTAATTTATAATAAAAAGCTCATCTTATGTACAAATATATGCGATTACAAAAAATATCGTTGCTACAAATCGATTTTAAATAATGTAGATTTATTATTAAACAATCGGAGAGAGTATCAGACTTCTAAATAATTTTATTAAATTCGCGTGAAATGTTATTTTTTTATATTTGAAAGAGTTCCACATTTAAAAAAATGACAAAATAAAATTTTTACACACAAACACACACAAGTTATACACTTAAGCCTAGTATTACTAACAAGAGATAAATTATAAATTATAGCGGGAAAATGACAGCTGATTCTGATAAGGATTGTACACATTGCTTAGTGTGCAATAGTAAAGTTGGAGTATCCACTAGAAATAGTGTTCGCATCTTCAATGATTCTACTGTCGCTACATCAGAGAAGCCACTTGCTGACGTTATAGCAACCGTTTTAGAAACAGATGTTAATGAGGAGTCTGTTCATTCCCTTGTCATTTGTAAAAAATGTTTTAAATTATTCACTGAGGTAAAGCACCTATAGTTTTGTTGATACAGTTAATTTGTTGAAAAATTTTATTACAATTTTTTTATAATTTATTATAGGTGGATGAACTTGAAACTAGATTAACAGAAATCAAGCTTGAGTTATTTAACAATTATAAAAGGACAGTAAAGAAATTGCCTAACGTATTTCATAATGAAGAAGAATATAATGATCATGATTACATAGACAATACAGAAAGTCAAAACACCGGTGAAACAGAGGTGAAAAATGCTACATAAAGCTTAATAAAAATCAATTAATTACTATATATATACCATGTAATATTCTATATATTGTACTAATGATGTTCATAGGATCTGCAAACTCTCTCTGATAAGGATTATATACCAGATAATATGCCAGAAGAAGAAGAATTTCTTGTAAATTCAGAAGAAATGTCACTGGAAGTTGAAGAACTAAACGATTCAAATGAACCAGTCACAATACAAAATTATAAAAAGAAATTAAAAAAGAACAAAGTTAATATAAAAGTAGAAACTATTCAGGAACAAGTATGCACAAAACAATTCATTTTCTGACAGCAGGTCATAAAATTATGGTATATATATATATATATATATATTGATATATATATCTTTTTCAGATTGTACTTAGAGATGACTCTTCGTACAGTTGCTTGTTATGTACTGATGAAAAGGAAAAAGTTACAGCAGATGCTAAAACTATCATAGCACATATGAAAGATGTACATGACACTCGTTTGTATATTTGCGACGTATGTGGGCAGGATTTCAGAAAAAGAAACGAACTTTCCTTACATTTAGATGATCACGTTGCAAAGGAGGAAGGGGATTTTCAATGTGAGATATGTAATAGAATATTTAGCAATTTACGATTATTCCGAATCCATAAAAGGATACATTATCCACAAGTAAAGTCTTGGCCCTGTGATATGTGTGGAAAGAGATACAGGTATAATGTATACTACACAAAGAAAATAATAGGATAGAAATAAAATGTGAAATGTGTAAAATCATTATCTCTGCTTCAGTTCAAAAAATCTATTGGAAGAACATATGAATACACACATGGGTGTACGTCCATATGTATGCGAAACATGTAATAAAGATTTTACATCCAAGTACACATATAAAGCGCACATAAAAACACATGAAGTACGACCTCGTCCATTTGAGTGCACTCAATGCAATAAAACATTTTTGAACCAGCAAAATTTGAATCAACATGAACGAACGCATAATGGCATAAAGGAACATGTATGTCACCAATGCGGTAAGATTGATACATTTCATATGATGAAAGTCTATATTTTTTATATTTTCGATGAACTAATGTCTTTTATATCAACACTCACAAGAGTTATCTTTTATTTAAACATTTCCTTATTCACACATTAATATCTCTTTTTAAAAATTAAAGGCAAGGCTTTTGGCTCACCTCACAATTTGGAAGTACACAACATAGTACATACTGGATATAAACCCTACATTTGTAGAATATGTGGCAAAGCGTTTGCACGTAAAGCAGAAATACGTGATCATGAGCGAACCCATACAGGTGAGAAACCATATCAGTGCGAGTTCTGCGGAGCAACATTTAGGTGAGTTTCAGCAAAATGGATTTATAGCAATACAGTTCTGTATAGTTAAATTAATTATTCAAAAACGATAGTTAAGATTGTTATTTTTGTGTTCAGTCAGAGATCGAATTTACAATCCCACAAGCGAGCAACGCATTATAACGATAAACGTTATAAATGCGACAAATGTCAAAAAGGTTTCAAAAGAAGAAGATTGTTAGATTACCATATAAAAGCAGCCCACACTGGTGAAAGACCGTACAAATGCGACGTATGTACAGCTACGTTCGTTTATCCTGAGCACTTCAAGAAACACAGGCGCATACATACGGGCGAGAAACCATATCTTTGCGAAGTATATCCTTTAGAATTATTGTTAAAACGATTATTTTTTTTACATTTCATTCGACTATTTTCATTCTTGCATTCTGAATGTTCAATGTGAATGTATCTTTTCAGGTCTGTGGTAAAGCTTTTAATAGTAGGGATAATAGAAATGCGCATAGATTTATTCATAGTGATAAAAAACCATACGAATGTTTGGTATGTGGAATGGGATTTATGAGAAAACCATTGCTTTATGCCCATATGCAAACTCAGGTAATGTATGAAAAATAGTTAATTCATTATTCTTTTAATATATATATATATAAATAATCATATGTGATTCATTACAAAATACCTATTTTTACTTATTATATATTTATGTTGTACATAATTTCATTACCATATATTGCAATGTATATTAGATTATCAGTAACATTATTTGATGTATTAAATATTATCCATTATCTAGGGTCATTTAAATGACACCATAGTAGTGAATCAGCCACGACTGACAACAGAAGATGATCAAGTAATAACAATTCCTAATAATGGCGAAGTATTGATGGAAGAAACCGAAACTGAACAGGTAAATTTTTTTTTGTACATGACATAATATGCCATGCAAACCATGTCAACAATGTTACATTCACAAATAGAAAATGTAAAAAGATTTTATATAATGTATGTATTCTTAATAATAATTCAAGTGGCAATTTTATTGTGTAGAATTTACATTCTAATATACAGAATTTTACTATGTGGGATGCTATATTTGCTTGTTTATATATAGCTAAATGAAACCGAATTGTACGTGACTGAATTGAAAGATCACGTGATTATACAGCAAGAAGGAGATCAAATTTATAATGAAGAGGATGTTGTATTGAATATACCCGCGGAAGAAACCGTAAGCGGCGAAGTGGATCTCGTTGTTGAGGATCAGGTAAACTAACAACATTTCTCGAAAGCTCGCAATGATATCTGTTTATCGCATTAAATGCCGTGTTTTCTCTCATAGATGGATTTCGTAGAGAGTGACGATATAGAATGCAAAACTGAAGCTGTGGAACAAGTGGAAACAGTATACGCTTATAATGAGGATGATGAAGGTGAGACGATAGTTGTGCCAGCCACTACAGATTATAAAGAGATAGTAGAGGAGAACAAAAACGTGCGACTAGTACAGATTAGATTTCCCTCATCTGTAGATGGAGAGGGTAGAAGTTGGTTGAGCTTAGTACAAAATACTTGAATTTATTAACACTATCAATATACCCTGCATAATTGATTGGAGCAAAAATCAGGATAGACATTCTGATTAGAAAAACGGAATTTTATTGTATTTATAAGTTTTCTTAGTATCTCTATAGATTTGGTGATTAAATTATTTATTATATTCAAGCGCTCTCTTCTTATCTTAATTGCTGAGTCTTTATTGTCAAATCCTTTATGTGACAAATTTTTATGTATATATATATATATCAGCTTAAATCAATTAAAAAATAAAAAATAAAAAAAATAAAAAAACAGACAAACAAACAAACTTTAAGCATGATTTTCATGATATATATTATTGAAAAAATGTGTAAAATGTGACAAGATTAAACAAAATAACTTAGATTTAAGATATAAAATGCTAAAAAATGGCAAAAAAACTTAAATACAGTCTGATTATTCACTTTAACTATTTGCAATGTAATTAAGTTTAATGTAGCGTTATAAGATTTGCAAATGATAAGTTTTTATTATTTAAAGTCACACTAAAGTTTGTTTCTTATCACAATTTCTGGTACATATATACATATACTTAGTAATTAAGAACATATATGTGAATATAACAAATTTCTAAAACTAATTTTCTAATGCTTAAAATTACTTTAAGTATCCATTTTTCCAACTACTTCAAACCATTGGCGTAAGGCATCGCTCAGAACACCCGGTAATGTGTTTATGTCTCTAAGAATTATGTAGAATGGAAATGGAAAGTTATCCATGTACGATTGAAATCTGACTTTCGTATCTTCAAATATAGGTATACGAATATCCAATACAGAATCCTGTAAAAACATAAAAGCCAAGCTTTTTAATAACTACTTTTTTTTTAATTTATCAATAATTTGAACTATTAATATATATCGCGACGATTATTAATAATATGACATCATTTTGAAATACGATTAAAAATTACCTTGTTCATTGGATTGTCAACTATTATAAACACTAGAAAGATGTCTGCCAGTTTAGCTCTCCTTATGGCTTCATTTACGATTTTTTTTCCTTCTGAAAATATTCCTCTGCCATCTGACAATACTACTAACAGCTTAGCATTGTCGGATGAGGTACATTGATTTTCAAACATCTCCACTATAGAATTGACCAATTGACCAATCATCGTTTTTCTTTGATCAAATCTCACTTCTTGTATTAGCCTAAAAAACGAAAAGAATAAAATATGAAATATTAATATTCTCACACATTCAATAAAACAAAATAGAATTATCCTAATTAAATGAAGTCAAAGCACAGCTAAACATATAAAATGGACTATTGAAAGATTAATGTTATTTATCTCCAAACTATATATTTAGCTTATAATTTATTGAATTAAATATTTATATTAAATAAGGATATAAATACCTAGATCCACTTTGTTCTGTGAAAGCTTCTCCCAAAGGATGTAATATTTTCATTTGTTCTCCAAAGCTTACAACACTAAGTTGCCCTACTTCCAGATATGTCATAGCCTTGCTAATCAACGATAGAGATTCGAAGGCCAATTCTTTAGAATGATTATCTGCCATGCTGCTGGAATCGTCCAATGCGAGAATAATCTGATAATCACGTTTAAAGGGCTTTGTGCGCCTGAGCCAGATTTTATCCTTACGAAATTGGCTGGCTATGTATGGAATGATCTTCCGCATATTAATGCGTTTGCCTGTCTTATAATCACCCCTCAATCTTGATGCCTGCGTAGGCTCCAAAACCAGTCTCAATTTCTCCGATAAATCTCGAGCGGCTGCATCCGTGACCGAACATAAACAATTCCACGCGGCTGTAGCTTCTTCCGTGGATGGTATCTGCGTCCACTCGGCTAACATTTTTTCTATTTCTAATCGTTTTCTCTCCGTATAACTAGAATCAAAATTATTTTCTTCCACATTCCATTCCATTGTATGAAATATAGTCTCATTTCCTCTCTGTACCCTCATAGTCTCCGCTATTTCCCCTTCTAACTCAACCGTCGTCTCCTGATTATTCTCAATGTTGTTTCTTTTACCATCGGAATCCTTGTGTTTATCGTTTGGAGTGTCGGAAATCTTTTCCGGTCTTTGCTCTTTTATTTTATTATCTGCCATGTTATTTTCTTCGTCTTCGTGCATTTCCACTATAGCATCATCCTTTTTCTCTTCCTGATCCTCTTTTTCTTTATCTGTGTTAGAAACTTGTTGCCTGACTTGATCCTCTGTCGCGGCGTCGAGTGTGTAATCGTCGAATCTCTCGGAATCCTTTACGTGTTTAGCCATCTCGGCCTTGTCTCCATCAGTGTTGTCTGAATTATCCTCTTTCTCCTCCTTCGATACTTCGTCCTGCGTGTAGATTGTTTTCAACTTTTTCAACGCTGGCTCGAATTTGTCCGGCAAACTGCGATCTTCGTTGCTCTTGCCTGGGTTTTTTCTCTTCTCGATTGATTTTGTCATAGTGTTTCTCTGCGAAGCGGGAATAGTTTCCTGCTTGGACGACCCTGAATGCCCGCTTTCTTGCTGCGCTGACTCCGATTGACCGGTGCCGTTATCGTTACTATCCTCTTGAGTATTTTCGGCTGACATCTCCTGCTGATCTTTGGCCTGATCCGACTGTTGTGCCACTGTATCCCGCGAACCTTCCGTCATTTCTTCAACTTGTTGCGTAGAATCCATTTGCTTGCTCGCATCATCTGCACTTGGCGCTGCCTTTTCTTGCAACTTCTCTTCCGCTTCTTCATCTCGATTTTGCTCCTCATCTTTGTTTTCGGTTTCCGCATTTTCTTTATCGTTCTCTTTAGTTTCCTGATTAGTTTCGAGCTCTTCCTGTGTTTTTTGTCCATCCAAGTCCATACTGTCACAGTTCTCGTCTTCGTCCTCGCTAGACTCCTTTTCGGGATCGTTTTCTTTATTTTCCTCAGTTTCTTTCTCAAATTCCACATCCATCTTCTCTGGCGACGGTTTAAGATCCTTCATCTCATCGATATCGAACGGATTCTCCTCTTCGCCATGATCTTCCTTATCTTCCTTATCGTCTTCATCTAAATTTATATCTTCTGGTAGATCCAGTTGTTGAGGTTCGGGTTGAGGTTGGAATTTTCCGTGATAAGGATTAATCTGATCTTCATCTATCTCTGGCTCGTTCAGTTCATTTATTTCCTTTTTATTTTCCTCTTCTCGACTTTCATCGTGATTCGCATCGTTATCGTCATGCTGTTTTCTCTTGTCTTCGTCATCTTTTGCACCCATTTCCTTTTCACCGATTCGTTCACCCGTTCCTTCCTTTTCATCTTCGTTCTCTGGCTGCTGATTATCATCTTGGGATTCTTCTTTATCGTCACCCCAGATTTGTTTATCAAGCTGTTCAGCATCTTCTCCCGTCTCTCCCATTTCTTTATCCAAATCATTATTTTCGTCATCGTCGCTCTGTTCTTCATCATCATCGTTTTTCTCTATATCCTGAGGTTTACTATCGAAATCCTCGGACATGTCAATTCCCTTTTCCTCTTCCTTACAAATCTTATCGTCCTGTTTCTCCTGCTCTTGATCTGCGGGTCTTGCGTCCTCAAGCTGATCCTCGGATTCTATCTGATCGGAGACGTCTTTCGTTCCTTCACCATCAGCTAAGCCCATCCCGCCTTTTCCTGTCTTTTCGCCCGATTCATCTGTTTCACCTTCCTCAAGGTCTAAATCTTTTGGCACGCAAAATCCATTTGCAGCCAGGTCCAGGAAGACATTTAATTGCAGATATAGCATTTTACACGTGACGCGGAATGACGCCACTTGTTCACATAAATAAAACTGGGCAAACAAGAGATATTGTTCCAGCAGTGGTAAACATTTTAGGAGCAATCTGGAAGAAATAATAATGGGCATTTATCTATATCAATTCATTTCGTAGAATTTAAAATCTGTTTTATCTTCACGAAATTTTATTAATATTATATTAATATTATTTTATTAATATTATATTATTTATTTTATTAATATTAATTTATTAATATTTTTTTTCGTTTATAGATATGGAAATATGTTTTTTTTTAACAAAAGATTTCTGAAAGAAACATTACATTACATTTTAAAATTATCTGTGTGCTGTTTAAAATATTAAATAATAAAATAATTCTTACCCGGTACAATAATTTGCTGATTGTAGGTCGAATTCACGTATCGATAGTAGAAGATTGAAAAATGAATTGGATACTTTGCATAATTTTAATTCGGTTATATCCCGCTCAAGGAATTCAACTAGTTTTTCGTTTAATCCATTTTCTTCTATTTTTCTCTCTATATCTTTATCATTTTCATTATCTTCCTCATTTGGTGTCTCGCTTGCGTGTACCATATCGTTCAAATTAATATGATTCTTGTATTTTTTTTGTATGATAAGCAATATCGTGTTTATTAAATGTTCCAGTGCTAATTCGTATTGCTCCACAGCGTTATTATTTTCTTTTAATTGCTCTTTATCTTCTTCGGATTTTCGTAAATTTTCATCATAGTTATGAAGAAAGCATTCCATCTTCGTATCCAAGAACGCTATATTTTCCCAGATAGGATGTATAACATTCGAGCTCTCAAACATTTTTTTCAGTTCTTTAGATCGCATTCTTAGATCTTCAATCATTGCGTAGCATTGCTCCAAGAATTCAAAGTGTTTCGAACTTAATAAAGCATGGATGGAATGATCTACTGATAATATTTCAAACGGCATGAATAAGGCGTGGAAACATTTTGCGGTTGCTTTTACAGATTTTAAGCTATTCTCCAACAATGTGTTCGCATTCCTCCAAACTTCGTCAATTCGAGAGACGGCAATTATAGAAAGTGCGTTCGCGTGTAAGGTGAGCACGGCTCTATTCGAATCCGCTGGTGATTCTGCGGGGCAGCATTGCAGAAACAGCAGCAGCTGCTCGAATCCAGCTTCCAACGTTATCAGTAATGTCTTCAAGCTCTTTGCGCAATCTTGGCCATCGCGTTGCTTCGATATATTCAGATCTTGCTTGCGTATTTCGGATAGATTTGAAATCTGTATGCGTAGCGATGAAAACCGATCAAACGATCGTGCTATTGTCATCTTCTGTTTGTTAGCCATCAGCATCATGTGCGCGGAATATCCTCGACAACGTTCCATATTTTGCAACCCCAGGTCGGTTTGGCTTGTGCTGAGCATCGCGTTGAGAGCATTTAATCTGATAAGAGACTTGTAATAATACTTCTCGCAGCCCTGCCATTGCGTCAACATGTGCTGGTCTATCTTTTTCAATTTGAAATATTGATCGATTGCGGATAGATTCAAGGGTGACACTGTGTAATCTATTACCTTGTCCGCGTTGTTCTTCAATGTTAATGCACCGATACGATAGGATACACCCATTTGAGTCAATGCCTTGAAATAATTGGCGAGCGTCATTCTCTTCTGCTGCAAGATACTCTTCGCCTGAGATTTTTGTTTGCCCTTTGGCAAACTTCTGTCAATATCCATGTCTCGAAGACGCGCGCTCTGCTCCATGAAGTTCATGACAAATTTCTCAAGTTCTGATCGTATACACGGATAAGAACTTGTCAGGATTATCTTTTTACATAGATCCTTGGCCGTCGTCAGCAACGTATCTGCTTTCATGATAAGTCCGTTTGTAAACAGCGTTTTTACCTCTACAGATCGCGGAGGTTTCTCTGTGATAAAATCTTCAAGATTGGTCATATATTTGTGATGTTCTTGAACATCCCAGACGCCTTGTTGTTTGATCTCTATACTATAAGATTTTGACTTGACGATCAAACAAGAAGACACGCTCTGTTTCAAAGCGCTCTGAAATTCCTTCGCATACTTATGTAGAGTACGATGCGTCTTTTCGACTGTTTCCTTCACTGCCCAGTAATTGATATCATTCCATCGCGCAATTTTAACGTAATTCTCCAGTTTCTTCTTGATGGGCGTTCTCAATGCGGCGATTCTCGCGTTTACGTCGTCCATGAATTGTTTATAATAATTGTACATGTTCCACAATATAGCCGAGAGTTCGTTCTTTACGTCACTGTCGTCGAAATAATACACATGACAATGGAACGTCAAGAGGAGATTTAATCGCGATTCAAACTCGACAAGAGATGACTCGTTCATGAAACGCTCCAGCGATTCCATCAACTTTTCCTTAGTGACAAACTCGTCGTTCGCGTTCAGACGTTCGATGTCACTCCTCGCGGATCTCCTGATGTAACTCTCAATCAACGCATATAGGAAGAACCACCATTTGGACGTGTTCGATCTAAGATCTTCAAACGTCGCGTCGAGCAAACCTTTCCAACAAGACAATTCCAATCTTCTCCACGATATTATTTGCTGCGTCAACGCGGGTATATAGTCTCCCATACTAACGCCGCTATGTGCGTTATCCTCCCATTGCTTCATCTTGACAAGCAGCAGCTCGAGACCCGTCAGGAACCTGGAGATAGGCGACGTGATCGAGAACGTATAGATTCTCTCTATTATACATCGTATCGATCTTAGGGCGGGATGCTCTGGCCATTCTTCCAACAGCTGATTAACGCGATTTAAAATCTTTTCGCACAACGGCAGACACTGTTTTGTTTCCTTGATGTTGCATTCCTTATAGAAATCGTGCGCTTTTGTTTGCACTCCAATGTTCTCACGTAAAATTCGATCCGCGCTCTTCTCTTCATTCGCTTGCAGCCCCAAAGTGACTAGGAGATTCAAGCTGTTGTATAGTTTAATCGCGAGTCCTTCGCTCAAACTCGGTAGTACATGATCGAGTATTTCGTATACAGTATTATACCTCTGCATTAGAGGTCCGACATAATCCGTCGAGCACACCAAAGTGGAACTGTTACATATCCACTTGGTCGTGATGAAGGACGTAACGATGTCTGAGTGGATCTCTTGAATCTCCTTGATATCATCCTTGGTGATGAGACCGCTAAAGGTCGATTCCGATTTGTTTGATTCGGTCGGCAACGCGTTATTCCGATCGAGAGAAGACTGTGAACCGTCCTCTATGTCGTGAAAATCTCTTTCGCGATGCGTGGGAAATAGCTTGCGGACTTCCAGAGCGAGTTCTTGCTCTTCAGTCAACGTATTTCCATGACTTTCGATCTTGTTCTTGTATAGACTGTCCCTCTCCACGGCTCGTCTCTCCTCCTCTTGTTGCTGTTGCTTCCAAATTAGGACTATTTGCTGCAGCAACTCGTTCACCTCTCGCCACAGTGACTTGGTCAGACCTCTGTTGAGAATCACATGGTTGTGAAGTTCATGCAAACCTGACTTAAATATTCGGAACTGCTTCTGCATTCTGACAAACGCGTCCGAATTTTCAATCAAACTTCTCGTGCTTCTGGAAACGCACAAATCACTCAGGTTCAAAAGGCTCTCCTGTCCTTGACCGATCGTCGGAAACCGGATCAAGTTGTATATCAAAGCTTCGGGATCGGACACTCCATTTGTATGGAGAGATAGCCGTCGTCGAATTTCGTTGATCAGCACATCAACACCGTGACTCAATTGTGTCAAGGCCGCCAGCAGCGGAAGAATTATATCTGGGTAAACCGAGAAGTACTTTACCTCAATTTGCGCGGCGAATCTTTGCACCGACAAACTCCAAGTTTCCGCTTCTTTTATAACGGTGTTGAAGGTCAAAAGATTGGTCGATTTGCATTCTTGACTCGCGATCGCGCATAGGTTACTCATGTGCTTCTCCACCATCTTGTAGGAACCTACTTGATTTGTAAAATTGGCACAGTCGTTGCTGAGCGAAGCAAAATCGACGGATGGTGATCTGAATGCTTTCAAATAGCTGAGTTTGTCTCTCGTCTTCAGCGAATTTCTTTCGCAATTTTTTACGGCTACAAGTCTGGGATGAGCGTGTTCGTTCTCCGCTGATAATCCTAGAATACGATTCTGTAACGATGTAACATATATCATTTTTCTGCAATCGGCGACGTCCTCCTCTAGATATTTGAGCTTCAGTTCCACCTTGTACACGGGATCGATCAGATCTAACTTTCCAAAAAGTAGTAACTGAATATAACCGAGCAATATCCACGCTCTCCCTCGTTGAATTATATCTTCCTCTTTACCGACACTTGTCTCATCGATGCTATTTATCTCGTCGCACGCTCTACGGAATTCTTCTACCGGTTGGAAATAATCAGTTTGCAGCCTATTTCTTATGGCAGTCGCGCTACTTCCACCTTGTTTCTCTATAACATTCGCAATTAAATCAGGTACATCATTTTCGGCGTTCATTCTATCGATTGCGGATAAGTACAAGCGTAAATAAAACTTTAATGTTATCAAGTCACTGCTGATAAAATCATATGGTTTGTTTGTTAACGAAATACTATTCCGCCATAAAATCTCATTTAGCAGCTGCAATTGATCCATTTGCGCCATATATGTTCCGAGCGCGATTGATGAAAGTACATTCTTTCTTTCCTTCTCTCCATTTGTTTTGTTTAACATTAATTGCAGCACTAGATTTAAGAGAACGGCCCCGCCGAAGTAGCTTTCCGTCTATAAATATACATAAGTAAAAATTAATGCAATATTCATCAATAATTTTTTTTTTAAAGTTGCAATGAGAATGACTTAAAAGTTTAAAGAAAAATATTTCAATGAAGGATAAAAGTACTATTTATTTAATTTGAGAGCAATTATATGATTATTAATTTGAAGTTAACTTCAAATTATTTAGTTCATTAACATATTGTTATATTATTTTAATTTTGAATTTAAAAATATACTGCAAGTTCCATATACATAAAGATATTAATTAATAGATGTGCAAACATTAATATATGCGTGTGTGTGTGATTTAATATCACAGATTTTGAAAGATTCTTATATTATTTCTAACAGAAATAAATGACAAAATCAAAGTAATAATTAATTTTAAAATCAGTTTCAGAAGAAGAGAGTTTCTAAATCTAAGTATATAAGTCACAAAATTTTTTTTCTATATAAAAACAAGATGTACAAACCTTGCACTCGGCATAGGAAGTTTGTGATCTGTCTATATCCTCTTCCGTTATACCACGCCAGTGTAAAAGGCGGTTTGTATTCTTGAAAGCGTGAGATTGCCGAGCGAATTGCTCGAGCTGACAGAACAATTCCGGTAGCAACAAGATCTTCTGTGTACATTCGATCTCCGTTCGAGTCATCGCGTTCAGCAAGCCGATCAAATTGCTCGGTATACTAGGCATATCTGCGAATCTCGCGAGACATTCCGTCGAGGTGGTAGTGGAAATCGTTCCTTCCCGACATATCTCTGCCTGCATAATACAGGCGAACGACATAAAGACGTACTCGTGAATCGGCCACAACTGTATCTTCGCGTTCAACTGTGTCATTTCCTCCTCTGGAAGTGAGCGCACTCTGTTTCGAACGTTCTCGATATCCGCGGAAACTTGTAGACGAATGTGGCTCTCGTCGCAGAATCGCTCCACCTCGACGATGCTCGTCATCTCTTCGATCGGTTTCCTTGAATAAACATCGCTCCACAGAGAGATCATTTGATGTCTCATCGCCAGCGCGTCCTTTAGTTGCACGGATATGATCTTCAGTTCTTGTTTTAGAAGGACCATGCCGTTTTCATTTCTTATGTTGAAATCTTTCGTTAGTCTTCTTAGCCCCGAGTGCACTTTCATGCAGATCTCTGAAGAGTGAGGCGGTGGAAGTGTTAAGTACTTTTTGACTCTTTTCGATATCTTTTTGATAGGATCGTACACCGAATCCAGTTGGTTGTTTATTTGGGATACGATCTCCCACAACTCGATCTCGCTCGCAGTCTTCTCATTCGGAAACTGTCCGGCTATTGTTGATAGTTTGCGCAAGAACTTTAACAGCCACTTATAGTGCACATTTAGCAACGAAGAGATTTGTTCTAGATTCGTGAATATGCTTTTAGACTTTTTCAACTTGTTTATTAATGTCGTTTCGCCCAGCCTCTCGAATCTCGTGTACCATTTTAACTCCTTCCTCAGTTCTACGAATTCTTCGGGGTTCACGCTTATATCGTTATCTTGTAGAATTGCCTCGATGTAAGAATTCGCTCGTTCAATGAATTGCACGAAATATGTTATAAGCGGTTGGTTCTTCAATTGCGAGAATAGCTTACCTGTAAATATTATCTGCTAATAACTTTGATTTTATTAAATATCGTATCTTAGAATGAAAAGGAACAATTAAAAAGTAAATAATAATCGAAAGAAACACTCTTAAAAAAATTATAGATTTTACTTTATAAAATAAAGATAGTAAAGTATATTTACGCGGCATAGAATCAAAATAACTTTTTTAAAAATTGTGATACTCTTCTATCTAAGACGCGATATCATTAATATAATATTAATGCAATATAGAATATTTACCGTGATGTACAATGCTGGAATATTGTTTGACAGATATTGCCTTTTTATTCTGTAATATTTCCGCTTTCGTTATGTCATTTGTGAGTACCATACTGCGCGCGTACAATAGCAGTAATAATTTATTTGCGTCATTGCAAGCGTTATTGTCTTCATCATATGTCATTCTTCCAACAAGCTGCCACAAATCCCAAGGCAAATTTTTTACGTTTGCAGAACGAAAGCGAAATAATATGATTATATTCGCTATTAATGCGCTTTGTTTCTCAAGTTCGTTAAATACTGCGTGTTCTCGTAGTATCTTCGAGATCCACTCCTTCCTGAGAGGCGCATCGTCTCGCGAGGATTGTTCATAAAAATTCAACAGAAAATATGGCAATATCTCAGTGACGTCAACGTTCATTACATATTCTTCATCCTCTTTAAGACCGCAAAAGTCATTTAATAATTTCGATGTAACAATATTTCTTTCAATATTTTCTGGAATATGTTTTAGACCTAATTCGTACATTTGGAGAGCCGCCTTGAATAGTAAACCTTGCTGTCTGATTATAGTGAGTCTCGAATTATCTTGCAGATTTTTTACGCTCCACGTGGCGGCATCCATATCGATCACAGCGACCATCTCTTCATTGTTGGCAACATGCCGTTCGATGATTTCATCGATCAGAGAAATCAGATGTTCTCTGAATCGCGGATCGCGCATTGGTCTAGCTTTTATATAGACGTCGATACATGCATTTCTGATTGATAGCTCCGCGGGGAACCCGCGCAAGGATCGTTGCTTCACCAGGAACGCGGTGTGTAACAAATCGACCGCACTGAATCGGTCCACCGCGATCATCTCTTTCGACATGATCTCGTAAATCTCGAGTAACGCATCGCGTTGTGTCGATTTCAGGATACCAGCATTAGATAGCAGCGACTTGAGATCGATCGCATCATCATAGATGTTCTCCTTCGGACCAAACATGTAAATTTCAACGCCTCTATTACGCATGGCCCTAAAATCGTAAAACAAATATATTATACTTAAATATATCGAAAATGATAAATATATTAATACTATCGCGATAGAATTACTATAGTTGTCTTATTTCGCACCGATTATAATTGTAATTTTAAACTTTTATCGTAATCGTATATAATGAATTTATATAGCGATTATCGTATTCTCTTTGAATATTATAATAAAATTGTCATCTCGTTAGCAACTTCTTTCATTTAATCTATATCTATCACGTATTGATAAATATGTGTACATAATAAATATATAGGTTTATGAATTGATATATTTTCGGAATCGAACACTGAATTTTATGGTCACTCAAAAAAATGTCTTGCTGATATAGGTAGATTTCTAGGTGTCACAACAAAAATTTATCGCTATTTTTTGTATCTGTTAGAATATTGTCTGTTACACATATAGAATTTATAGCAGCAATATTCTAATAATATCTTCTAGAAAATTTAGGTCCCATTGCCAAATGTTAATCACTGCATTGGATAAATATGAGTTTCGATACTACAGCTAGAACGATCTTTGTGAGAAATATAACTGCCAATTATAACTGCAGCATCGAAAAATTGAGAGAAATTGTTTAAAAGAGCTAGATAGATTGGGCGCGTTATACAAATATGTTAGATGTGAGGATTATATATTCATTTGTTTCTTGCCGCTAATTTTTTCTGTGTACCACAGCCAAACTTTATAACAAGTATGATTGGCCTTAACATGGATAGGCGCCACAGAAAAACATTCTTTCTAAATTTCACAAACAGTTCAGATATAAATTCTGTCTCTGTCACTTAGATTGATTAAATGCGAAACATATGCGATATCACAGTATTTGCTAATCATTTATGTACCTCAGTTAATTTTGCGCACCCAGAAAATTTTTGCTGTAGTTGCAATACCACTTTTTTGAGTGGTTTTTATATGTGATTAACTGTAATGAAAAGTCATATGATTAAATTATTACGTATCAAGAGAGAAATTACCTGGAAATTTCGCCGTATCGAGGGTCCATAGTTAGAAATAAACGGAAATTTTCGTGTGGCTTAATGGTGACGACATTGCCTTCACTATCAACACCCCGCTCACCGATACTGAGAACACCGTTTGGCTCTAACAGTCCATTAAGTCTGTCTAATACAGCGGGGCTGCATAAATTAACTTGGTCGATGAGTAGCCAAGTGCCATCTTGCAAACACTAAAATGATTCCGTTATTATACTGTTTAAATAAATGTTTTGTTGATCAAAAGTTGAAATTTTACAATATCAATTTTTCTTAAAGACAAAAGCTTATTTCATATACATATATATTTAAATATTTCTACATTTTCGATTTATAAAATAATTAATATTATTCTGTTTTTTTTTCAAGATAAATGTCCTTTTCTATATTTATTTTCTTATTATTTTAGTTTCTAGATGCATTAAAAACTTTTGATAAAAAATATGAAAAAAAGCAGAAAAAGGTAGCAAAAAAAAGCAGAAAGTTTCTTTGCGTAATATATGTATATGTCTACATAGACAGAGAATATGTAAATGTGAATAAGATATATTATGTAGACCTAGAAATAGCTACACACATAAGATATTAAAGTTTTGCACTTCACAATTGCAATAAAAATGAAGTAGTTTTACGTGTTAGAAAAGTTTTGGAAGTCGCAATTTTTGACTCTATTAAAACTTCAACAACACTTATACATTATCGTATGTCAAGGATAAAATATTGAAAAAGGCAGCGCGCGGAGTAAAGTTCAAAGTGGTGCAACTTTACCGCTAGTTGATATCCGCGATATGTAAAATATGAGAAGCATTATCAGGATACCGTATAAAAGTTGCCTAAATCAAGTTCGAGGAATAAATATGACGAACACACATTTTAAAGCGACCTTGTCAAAATATTTCTTATAAAATGTTCGCATCTCAACTGTGTAAAATATTCGCAATACATCCCGATAGAAGTGTAGCTCTTTCTTTTTCTTTGCCAAAACAATCTACAGAAGTTTGTATCGCTGATGGAATACCTTTACTAATACACTATCCACCCATTCAAATTTTCCGCCAGCATTCAGACATTTATCCTCTTTGACAGAAATCGATAGACTTTCCAATCTTGACTCGATATCTCGTAATTCCGATTCGCGGGAAGGTTCCCAAGACTTGATCGCTGATACCAATATTAACAATTCCTTGATTTTATTTAAAAATAGCTCGCTTTCCGCTGCCATTGTTTTACCGGTGACATTTTCATCTGGCGACAAACGAATAGTGAGTGATAAGATTAATCATTGTCCGTAATAAAGATCAGATTTTTCTTTCTCGGCAAAAAGAAAATTTCATCCTGACAGTGAAATGTTCGTTTTACTTACCAAATAAATGTCGCACTTGTTCCAAATGCTTATGAAGTTCAACAACTTGCTCCAATTTGTCGATGGTTATCTTCGTTTGCAAGCTATCGATAAGCAGAGCCGTTACGCGTTCAAATAGTTGCTCGAGATGTCGATTGTAATCCGTCTAAAGAAATGATAAGAAATTCTGATCATGTTTAAGTTGTAAAAGAGGATATAAAGTTATTTTATTAATTTAAATTTATTAGTTTTAAATTATATATGACAATTGCGTACATCATTTATTATAATTGGATCCCCTCAGGGATTCGCAATGAGTACGGGTTTAGCGAACCCGAGGTATTTATCAAGAAAAAAAATCTTATTTATTTATTATAATTAACAAAATTAAGTGAATAAAAACAACTTGCGATTTAAATACTTTAACAGAATTATAATATAAGGTAAATTTATCCAGATACATAATAATGAAAATTAAAAAAATGAAATTTTTCTCTAAAATCAATAATTTGATTAATAATATATAAAAAAGTATAAAAACATATTTAAACATATTTTAAGAGACTGTGATTCGCGCGAAATATAAGACACGATAATATATTTATATATGTTATTAAAATGCTTTTCCTCTTTTTCTTTTTTGACCTAGGAAATTGAATTGCAATATCAACCAAGATCGTCGATGGAAGATATTGCAGACTTACAAAGCTCGTCGAATAGTTTGCAACTGAAGGCAGCGATAAAATATCGGCCGAAAAAATATTCACTATGTGGTAAATAAGTCGGCATATCAACGAACAAAAATCAATCACCGAGAAAATTCTGTATCGCTGCATTTCTGAGCGTTTTATACGTTCGTATACATATATACATACATATCGCTATGTATCGATATATTTGTATCTCATGCCATAAACGCAATCAAACAAATTTTCACGTGGTCGTTCGTCCTCATGCATATGCATATGCGACAC